TCACCCAATTTAGTGATGGCTTTGTGCGGGTGTTGGCCCAGAAATGGCGAATACCCGACCACTGGTAGGCCTACCGGTCCCGACGGCAACCGCTGTCTCTCTTGAATCATATTCACTATATGTGTGATTAAACTGATAAACACTATAAATAGCGTAAAATACACCACATTTTCCAACAAATAATTAAACACAACGTGTAATAAAGTCATGATTTACTCAAAAAATTAACTCAAAAATTTGCAAAACTTTACATAAAGTGTTTCAAAACTTTTAAATTGCTTTCGACTAATGTATGAAAATTTGAATTCTCTTTATATTTATATACAAATGAAATAAGTTTTTGTTATCGCATTACTGGTAGATATCAATTTGTATCATAATTTGATATTACGGTATTTCCACTGTATTACACTGTATCTTATATGTACCTAGATTAGTATGTTTAGTGCATTGAGTTGACTGTGAAAAATATTTCTAATCATTCAATTAGACACTTTTTACAAGACTTATAAACAGTATACGTTTTATTTTTATTGTTGATATAATTATGTAATCCTATTGAGCACTGGTAAGGGATTCATAATTTCCTTATTCAACAGATAAACGATTAAAGGGTTAATCGTTAAATTCAATATCACAGTAGACTACTATTTAATTCAATGCATATTGGGAATTCAAAATAAATTGCTCTTGTTAAATAAATTTTTAGACTATAAGTATAAATATAAACTTTACCTCTGAACTCCCGGCGCATAATAACCGGTCTTTTCATAAAACCTATGCAGAAAACACACGTCTTTTCCTCGTATGTTATCATAAAGAATATTCTGTATCGAGGAGTATGTCTAATACTGTAAATTAAATATATAATTGGCTGTCCCTGCTCATTATCGATGCCAAGGTCTCTTTACACCCGTAGACAGTAATTGTATTACTCAATGCCTGTCCAAAGTGTGTGAACCCCAACCTAGGAACCTCAGTTTCAGGTAGTTTAGGGAAATTACCTTTTTTAACTTATTTTTTACTAATTTTTATTTTTGAAATAACATTGTGTCTATCAGACAGAAAAATCCCATCAAGCAATTTTAAAACTATTGCTCATATATTATATTAATAAAGGGTCAATATTTTAATCATTGACAATTCATTATACTAATTTTAAAGGGGCAATAAATGAATTAATTCTTATTGAATGATATATGAATTATTCTATCTAGGGTTTACCTGCTCAGAGTTTTTTACTCATTTTGCTACCTGAAACTGAGGTTCCTACCCCAACCTCTCGTCGTAATACGATTTATGACATAATATTTCAATAGTTTATACATAAATGAGAAAATCATTGAAAGCTATGATAGACAACATTGGCACAGGAATAGGACGTGACCTTTTGGATGACAATTGACTTATAAGAAAACAAATTCTCTTTATATTCTGTGAATTTAATTCTGTTATCATTTTAGCATTAAATAAAAAATAATATCATAAATGAATATAAGGTTAAACTAAGGATAAGTATTGTTATAAAGCACCAGTATCTCACTATGAACCTAGATCAGTAGACTTATTTTACTTTTATATAAATATCACTTCTAATTAAGCATTGTTATAAAACTCTGTGTTTATTTTGTTTATTATTTATAATTACATTGACTTTATAAACATTTGGGAAAAGAATACAACTTTTATTACTTTCTGTATATAAAAAATACTCTTAATATATAAATTTATTATAGCATAATAGCATATTGTACATTATTTAGCAGAATATAACTATTTTGTTTAATAATTAATATGTTTACAATTATTTATTACAAGAATTTTCTTTATTATAAAGTAATTAATTTGTTTATAAAAAATCCTTAAAATTCTATGCCATTAACAGTCGGCATAAACTTAGTACCGATTATTAAATATAAGAATTGGTTTGTGTTTGGGTTGTAACGATAGGCCAAACCTCTCCTCCAGAGTCAACATCTCATCATTTGCTGCACTTATTGTGTATTTCTGTAGAAGTGATACGAAATACAGGAATACCTCCACTCGTCCTAACGTCTCGCCAACACAATTGCGTTTACCTACAGGTCAATAAATACAGAATATTCTTTAATTAATTACTATAATTAATATAAATTCTTAACAAACCGTAAGAGAATGGTATGAAAGCATCGATTTTAATCACTTGTTTGCCATCACTTGTGAGGAATCGATTCGGATTAAAGTCTTGCGGTTTATGCCATACTTTGGGGTCATTATGAACGGCCCATATATTGGCTAAAACTTGTGTGTCTTTTGGTATGAAATGACCCAAAACTGATGTATCCTCTGTTGTCCTGTTATTGTTATCAATAATTTTTGTGATTATAAAATGTAATATTATTTTATATATTAAGTGTAATTACCTTCTCATCAGATTTACGGGAATAGTAGTCTTATATCTCATCACTTCGTTAATGAACGCCTGAGTGAACGGCATATGAAGTCTGTCGGCATAACAGGGACTCCGATCTCTTCCGACCACAGAATCGATCTCTGAGTGAACCCTCTTCTGGTGTTCGCTGTATCTGACGGACAGTAATAACAGCCATTCAGTGGTCGTCCGCACCGTCTCACTGCCGGCCCCGAAGAATGCTCTGGCATTTGAATCTAATCTCTTCACTAAAATACAATTAATTAAAAGTTATATTTAATAACACCTAATAATTCAGTCATCAATGACAGTATGTATGGACTGACGGGTGAAGTGAGTGTTGGGATCCTTTCGTTGTCTCACTTCCATCTCCGCTAAGTATCCGTCGATATAATCCCTCTTATTATTGGTGTCCAAAGACTTCCGGTGCGACGATATCTCCGATCTATTCATTTAGATAAAAAAATTAGAAATAAAAAACTTAATAAAATTAAATTTCATACTCAAATATGCTAATCACGGCGTTGAAAACCTTTTTATTGAACGAACCACCTAGCTTAAAAAACAATTTACTGAACCAAATGGGAGACATCGCCAGCACTCCTATTACGGATATTCTGGACACCGCTTGATCTAACTGTTTGTCAAATAGCTGTCTCTTGGGTTCATTGAAGTCCATTCGGTGGCCAAACACCAGGTGACAGATATTGTTGGACATACTCGGCACCAGTACTTCGTGGATATTCATGGGCTCACCATTAGTCTCATCGATACATTTCGTGAGATAACTGATCTCATCGGTGATCCTGTCCTCCATAGAGCCCTTCCCGAAGCCTAAGTCTCGGAGAATTTGTAGGGCAGACCTCCTCTGATCCCTCCATACTTCCCCACTTTCATCGGCTAAACCTATTTAACGTTATAATTCATCATAATTTAATTTTTAATAAACAAATCGTATAATATAATATATTATACAGTATATATAGATTTATATATCATATATTCCTAAATAAATTACTTTTAGTTTCGGCGATTGCAGTGAACGGACTGTGAAAGGGTCGGCCTAAAAAGGCATCCTTATTGAGGGCATCCCTCACAGCCTCCCAATCGTTAAGAACGACCACATTATTCACTCCCAATTGTAACCTTTTTCAAAAAAGTTAAATGAACACGTTTTAATCAATTCAAATTGCAAATTACATTAATAATAAATAGTTTACAGAATAATGTTAATGCCTTAACTTTAAACTAAATATATTTTGTAATTTGGAAAATTTCCAACTTTATCCACATAGTTTTTACATATTTACTTAAACAACTCGTATTAAGAGTTATTTAATTTAAAAACATGGTTTTATCTATAAAAATGTTTCATAATACCTTATAGTGTATTTATTATCAGTTATAATTTATCAAATAAATTTTCTAACCAAAATATTTTCTAATACTTTTCAATACATAACAATATTTTAAAGAAAAATACAAGTTTTTTAAAATTAATTCATAATATTCATGGACTTACGTGAAAACAGATCCATATTTATCACCCAATTTGGTTATATCTCTGTGGGGATGTTTTCCCAGGAATACCGAATACCCGACTACTGGTAGGCCTACCGGTCCGGCCGGTAAATTCAGTCTCTCCCTGATATTACCCCATATATGTCTGACTAAATTGACAAACAATATGAGCAGTGAAACATACAAGGCATTTTCCAACACATAATTAAACACGAATTGCGTGGAAAACATATTTTCATAAAAATTTAAAGCACGTAAAATATGTTTCATAAATTATTATAAACCAGACACTTTTGAAAGATATGTAAGAAATTAATTTCCTTATATACACACAAATTCTNTCACACATATAGTGAATATGATTCAAGAGAGACAGCGGTTGCCGTCGGGACCGGTAGGCCTACCAGTGGTCGGGTATTCGCCATTTCTGGGCCAACACCCGCACAAAGCCATCACTAAATTGGGTGATAAATACGGATCGGTTTTCACGTAAGTCTGAGAATTGAGAAAGTTTAAAAAATAGTTTAATAAAGCATTTGCTTAAAAACAACTTTAATCTATCATATACAGTATTATACAACTTATAAATTTTGAAGATTATTTGTACAGTATATCTCAAATGTTCAGTACTATATGCAGTAAATAATTTAATTAGGTAAATTTACTTAAGTTTATATACTTTAAAGTAAATTTATTATAAACATAACATTTAATTATAACAATAAAAAAATTATATTGATATGAACTATAAATTCTATAATTAACATTAGCTATGTTTAAGGTTAGAATTAAATTAATTATAAATGATATTTTTTATAAAGGTTACAATTGGGAGTAAATAATGTGGTGGTTCTTAACGATTGGGAGTCAGTGAGGGATGCCTTCAATAAGGATGCCTTCTTAGGCAAACCACTTCACTCAGCGTTTACTGTGACTACTAAAGCTAAAAGTAATTATTAATTCTGTAATTCTGTAAAGTTTATAAACAAGTTAACTATAAATACATAATAAATAGGTTTAGCCGATGAAAATGGAGACGTATGGAGAGATCAACGGAGGTCTGCCCTACAAGTGCTCCGAGACTTAGGCTTCGGGAAGGGCTCTATGGAGGAGAGGATTATCGATGAAATCAGTTATCTCACGAAGTGTATCGATGAGACTACTGGTGAGCCCATGGATATACACGAAGTACTGATACCGAGTATGTCCAACAATATCAGTCACCTGGTGTTTGGCCACCGATTGGATTACAATGAGCCCCGAAGAAAGATCTTTGACAAACTCTTAGACGAGGCCTCATCCAGGTTCTCCATTATAGGAATGATAGCCATGTCGCCCGTTTGGTTCAGCAAAATATTTTTTAAGCTTGGTAATATAGTCAATAGGAGTGGTTTCGATGCGATGGTTAGCATATTTGAGTGAGTAATTTGTCTGAGTTAGAAAATTCTTATATTAATAACATCATTATACATGTACTGTATATATTATAGCATTATAGTATGATATATAGATAATAGATTTATAAATAATCTGCTTTTGAATGAATAGATCGGAAATCTCTTCGCACCGGAAGTCTTTGGACACCAATAATAAGAGGGATTATATCGACGGATACTTAGCGGAGATGGAAGTGAGACAACGAAAGGATCCCAACACTCACTTCACCCGTCAGCGTTTACTGTGACTACTAAAGCTAAAAGTAATTATTAATTCTGTAATTCTGTAAAGTTTATAAACAAGTTAACTATAAATACATAATAAATAGGTTTAGCCGATGAAAATGGAGACGTATGGA